CGTTGGGCGCCAATGTAACAAAAATGCTTTGTGCGCCAATGTAACAAAAATGCTTTGTGCGCCAATGTAACAAAAAGTGTGTGAGGAAAGTAACAAAAAATGTTTGGGATAATGTAAAAGATAACATATAATTTAAAGCTGGCTAGCAGAAGTTGCCGGAGAGTGACTACTTGACACTCAAAGGAGGATTCGGCCAATTTGCATGCCCTACAGAGACCGTAAAATGAGAAAATGAATGACAAGGTAACAAAAATCTATTGGTATATAACTAATGTAACTGCTTGACTCCCAAAGATAGGCTAAAAAAACATTTGTTTTAGAGTTCTTTCTTATTCTTGAGACAGAGTAGGGAAAAAAAACCAGGTTTTTGAACCTTGAAAGGTTTTATAAAGGTTACTTATGAAGTGTGAAAGCAAAACCTTAATGGTTTTGTAGATAAGGTGACCGTCGTATGGTTTTACAATATTTCAAGTAAAATGGATTAATTATATCGATAATTTTAACGAAAAGCATGATATGGATAATAATATATTTTATAATATAAAGAACAGAATAAGACAGATTATTTTTAACGATATTCTTAATAGCAATTTTAACGATAGATAATTATGTTTTTAAGGCCGGGACGTAAAATTAAAAAAAAATATGATTTTATATCAATTAACGCTTCCGCTTTAGATGTTGAATATTTCTTAATGAAATGATGGAAAACAGTTCAGATAAATATATCGAATCAACTGAAACGTGACAATACAGGATCTCAAAATGGCTGATGGGTTTTATTATTTCCGTTTTATTGATAACTTGGATACTTACGGCTCACAGTGGCTATAAACCAAACAGGACACTTAAAAAAACTCCAAACTAAAACTTTCTACTACTTCTTCATAAAAAAAAACTACGCCACCTCTGTCCTCTACCTTGGGCTCAAGTTTCTTCCACGAACATTCAAACAGAAGTGTGCCTTGGGTACTTGTTTTGAGCTAGCTAAACTATGATTGCAAACATGGACGCTTGGTGTCGCTGTTTAATACCAACTTAAATTTTAAAAATTTAGAAAATCATTAAGAGGATTTGATTTACAAATGTTTAAGGATTATTAAAGTAACGGAGTCGTTATAGAATGAAATATTACCAGCGGAGGACCAGATATGACCAAAACAACTATTATGGCCGGGTCAAACTAAAAGACGTTATCCACTTACTGTACGCACTAAGATAGCTTTAAAAAAATTGATGGTAAGAAACTATGGAACATAGCTAGAAGTACGGATATATACGACGTAGATGCAAGGTGGAGAACATCAAGAACTGGGTAAGAAATAGAAGAGTAGAATGGAACGATCATATAAGCCGAATTACAACAAATAGAGTAGTAAAGACGGCACCCAGTAGGAAGACGATCAGTAGGAAGATCACGAAAACGATGGAAGGACAACTTACTGGAGGCACATTGAAAAACGGTCAGAGTCATGTCTATATAAAAAGAAGGAGAAGATCCTAATAAATTTTCTGAAGATTCTTCAGCTAGATCACACTGAAGTTTCAGATATACACATTGTAATAACTTAAATGAAATCGACGACACCAACGATGATAGTGCTCTTGAGCAGTCGAATGTAAATTTTGAAGCTCAGCACAGAGCGACACCACAAACAATACATTCGAGATGATATGAAACTGCAAAGAACTCCACCTAGAAATACCTATCTCCAACCGGAACCATCGGGATGTGATGAAACTATGCACAAGATTCCATTTAATAATGCCAAATTGAAATCAAACCAGCGAGCTCAACCCCAGCCTGGAACGCCAGGAAATGTTAAAACTCAGTCTAATGTAGCTATTGAAAAGTTCCAAATCAATTAGAAACAAAATAAGAAAACGAGAAATCTTAAGAAAAAAGCTGAAGATGTCAAAAAAGCTAGAACTAGTAAAAGAACGACAGAAACCGTAGGAAAACTGACTACTAAAGCAAAGAAACGACCTATAAGCAATAAAGCTGAAGATTTGATTCTTAGTCAGAAAGTTATGATGAGAGTAAGCTTTGTGACGATAATGAACTAGATGATGTAGATCTAATATTAGAAAATGAGGAGTATTTTATTTGGAGTGCGGTGAATTCGGACAAAACAAAGAAATTTGGTACCGTTGTGTAATGTGTTCGAATTGGGCTCATTCGGAATGTAGTGTTTGGGATTCAGCAGTTATGTGCCAAGGCCTAACGGAAGAAAGTCAGAAAATAAAATTATCTCTTTACTTAATCTGTTTTTGTTTTAATTTTGTCTTTTAGAAATTTGTTTTGTTTACAATATTTGCTCAATAATTTTTTTTTTTTTCGAATACAGCTTTATTTAATTTTTGCGTAGAATTACCCCGGTAAATTGGGGTCTTTTTTATGGGAATATCGTTCCCAATGATAAAAGTTTCAGTAGTTAAATTATGGAAGTTTTGTGTGCAACTAAGGAAACTTTTTTAAGTATTTTCCCTTAAATGCGCAGAATTACCCCGGTCTCCCCTACGTATAGGCTTTAAAATATTTTAATGTATCTATTGAATAGAAAATAAGATCTCCATTGCAAACCCTTTCTTGTGGTCAACAGTTTACGGGTACAAACCATTTTAATCGGTCATGTCATTAAGGAATTGTCCCCAACAAGTTTCTTTACTGTCACAGAAACTTCAATCCTAATATGGTAAAATCCAATCAGTTACATCATTTGAAATATCCTACATACGGAAAAATGAAACGACACTTCCCATTGATATTACAAATGGTGACTGGCTCGGTACGACTATGGTTAGGAATATACGGCAAACTTCGAGAGAAACCAATCTCGCAAACCGTATCAATGAGTCACAATTTGATAAAGCTATAAATCGTTCATTTCCTTGTCAGTAACTGGAACATACACACTTTTAACAACCGACCATTTTATGACTTACTATTGGATACAATTAATAACCTCTACAATTTTCATTTTATATCAAATCTAATTGAATTGTTTCGAGAGATTTATTGACAGACTGAGGCGATATGATTGAAAATATGTTGTAAAAATGTTTTTAGGTCAGTTGGTATTGTCCAGCCGTAATGAAATTGCTATTAAAATGGAATGCTATTTATTGGTAGATTTGATGCTATTTCTTTATTTTATATTACAGAAATGATCAGATCTACTTACAAGATACACAATGACTTAAGCATTTGACTACCATTTTTTTCGGGTGGGAGATTGGCAAACAACATTTGTGAGAGTGACAAATTCAAGCAAAAAATGTTCTATAAGAACAGTCGATACTTTTTTGAGCCAAAAAATAAATTATTGTTCTGAAGCTATTTTCTGGTGGCATTGTAAATTAATTACTATTTAACTAGGAATAAGCCACAATTAAAGATAAAAATACGTTTATTGACGTTTCAATTTCCACTTCGGAAATCGTTCTCAAAATACAAACAGTAAATTAAACAAATTTTGTTTTTTGTTACATAGTGAAAAATTCTTCTAATAATTTAATTTTATCTGACTCATTTATATTGACAATTCAGACATACATTATGCATTTTAAAGCAGACGACTTTAAAATGATATTGCCAATATTGTTGAGTTGCGCTCCTGGAACGACTTTACTTATAAGATAGTTCATTCGATTACATGAAATCAACTTTAACTTGAGAATATCTGTCAGAAAAAAATCATAGCATGTAATTGGTCTTTAAAAAGACAAACACATGACATGATGACAGTAAAATTCTCCTGTTAGTGATTCCATAGTAAATTGTGAGGGAAAAACCAGGAAAAAAACCTCATAATACTATCCCGACATTGTAAGTATTTTCGTAAATTTAGTTTACCTTTAACAAACACCAAAATTCTGATTTTTTATACGTTTCGTTATTTAAAAAAAACATAAATGATGTATCCTCTATATGTTACTGACTTACTAATACTGGCATTTTCTTATTAATAACTTCCTCTTTCAATATTGGTAACCAGATCCTACTACATTCTGCCGAGGAATTTGCGACACAATTGGCCTCATTTAGCATAATTAAAGCCGCTTCTTTGATTTTTCTTTTTTTACCATCCGTTTCTTTTAGGACTACATTTGAATTATTCCATTGAACCCTATGTTCATTATCCCATGCGTGTTTACATATTTGAGATCTATCTAATCGAATGAACTATCTTAGAAGTAAAGTCGTCCCAGGAGCGCAACTCAACAATATTGGCAATATCATTTTAAAGTCGTCTACTTTAAAATGCATAATGTATGTCTGAATTGTCAATATAAATGAGTCAGATAAAATTAAATTATTAGAAGAATTTTTCACTATGTAACAAAAAACAAAATTTGTTTAATTTACTGTTTGTATTTTGAGAACGATTTCCGAAGTGGAAATTGAAACGTTAATAAACGTATTTTTATCTTTAATTGTGGCTTATTCCCAGTTAAAGAGTAATTAAAAAATAAATTCTTAAGCGACTTTTTGAAAATATATCAAAAACAAAATTTTATAAAAAAATGGTTATAAGACAAACTAATTATAAATAACAAAGATGTTGATATATTTTTGTAGGTGGTATAGAACCTGAGTTATCACTCCTTAAAGTTGAATTTGATTTTGATGAAACGAAATTTCAATGCCATTTACCGGAAAAATGAAAGGTATTTTGGAAAAAACTTAAAATTACACTTCTGACCGGGTGTACGGAACCCTACGGACCCGTTGGCGGTAGATCCAACAATCCGTCTAGGAGAAGGAAACTCTGAGGCTAGATACCTACCTATACTGTCACATTTGGATGTCAGGTTAGGGGTTAAGGTATCGGACTAACTGTCCAATAATTGTAGAAAAATAAAAAAAAATGATAAAAGACATGTTACACACTCTATGGACGACAGAAAATACATAAAAATACGCCCTTAGAAAATACCCTAGAAGAGGCTAATGCAGAAGATACGATGATAAAATACTTATAATATCTTACTTCAATATGAAAACAAATGATGACAAAAAACTGAAGGAGTCAATAGAGAACTTTATACTGAAGGAATTAGAATTACCTATCCAATTGAGAAGTGCCGGGAAGATAGGAGAAAACGTTTGCGTACTAGAAGCAGAGAACATGGCTGATAAAATAAATATTCTGAAAAATAAAAGCAAGTTAAAACAATGCAAAGACCGTATTTTTATTAATAATGATCTTACAGAAAAAGAATAGACTGTACAAAAAGAAATAGCGAAAATGGCGAAAGAAATAAGGGAAATAATGTTAAAATCGGGTACAAGAAACTAAAATGGACACGGTTATGATAAACGGACTAGAGACTAATAATTCTGGAAAAACAAAAAATAGAAGGGAAAACCAAAGGAAAGAAAACATAAATATAGATAGGAATATGACCCTCAAAGGAAAAGCAAGTCCGCCTTTAGAAACTGAGAAAAGATACGTGGATGACATAAATGGGAAACAAACATTTAAGGAGATTAAAGATCAAAGTGCAGGTGAGCTGAAGATAAGGACGTGGAACGTCAGAAGTACCTACAAACCAAGTAGGAGCACTAAAAAGCTCAACAAATATCATGGGAAAATATGGATTAGACATGCTAGCGTTGCAAGAAACAAAACAACTAGGAAATGAAATAGTAGAAATAGGGAAGAGGTATCTCTTTAAAAGTGGATGAGTTAACAGATACTTAGGTGTTGGATTTATGGTAAATAATAGAATCAAAAATTGGTGGTAGATTTTCAACCGATCTCAAACAGATGTTACTTAAGGTTACGTGGAAAGTATAGAAAAATAGTATTGTGAATGTACACGCACCCACGGAGGAAAGAGATGGAAACTAAAAGCGAATTCTAGAAAAGTTAGCAGAAATAATGGAGAAAATAACGAAGTACGACATAAAATTAACCTTGTGAGATTTACCTAAATGCGAAAGTCGGTAGTGAAGAACTTTACAGGCATATAACAGGAGGGAAAAGTTTACATCAAGAAAGTAACCAAAACGGGATAAAATTGATAGAATTTGCAATGGAGAATACAATGAAGATAATCAGTACAAAATTCGATCATAAAGACACATATAAAGCTACGTTGATATCCCCAGATGAGCAGAGTAAAAAACAAATCGTTCACATATTAATAGAAAATAAACATGCTAGAGCTATCAGAGATTGCAGAAGATATAGAGATGCAGATGCCAGTAGTGATCATATATTGATAATAGCCAAACTTAAACAAGATCTACCTGTAAAACTAAATGTTTTAAAAGACAGAAAGATATATAACGTGGCCTTACTTAAGGACCAACAAGTGACAAAGAAGTTAGAAAATGAGATTAACGCAAGACTAAAGGAAGACAACTTAATGTCTGATACATTGGAAGAAGAATGGAGTAAAATTGAAACATCAATAACAGAAGCAGCTAATGTTTGCTTAGGCAATACAGGAGCAAAGAGAGAAGAAGACTGGTTCGACGAGGAATGTAAGGCACAGTTGGAAAAGACAATAATAGAACCCAAGAAACAATTACAGAGACATAAAGGAAAGAAGCTAAAAGAATCGACAGGAAAAAAAAAGAATATTTGGAAAGAAAATTAAAAACAATAGAGGAGCATTACATTAGCAAAGAAATAAAAAATTTATATCAAGAAGTGAAGAGAAATCGACAAACAAATAACATGTAAACAATTTTTTGTAGGAATAAAGAAGGACTCAACTCCGCCTGCATTACCCACTAGGTGGATCGAGTAGCTTGGTGGGTGATGTTGCCGGTCCCAAGCCCGGATAAAGGAGGAGGAACAGCAAGGATTTCGGACAGGAAGATCATGCACAGATGCAGATTTTGTAATAAGACAAATACAAGAAAAGTCTCTTGAATACAACAAACCAGCATATATGTGTCTGACAGATTTGAAGAAAGCGTTTTATTTTGAAGAACTGCTAAATAATAAAGAACATATTCAAAGAGATGAGGCAATGGGCCAGTCAGAGAATAATGAAGAGGAGTATGTAGAGGAACCAACAGAACAGGAAATAAAGGAAACAATAAAATGGTTTAAAAATGATAAAAGCGCAGGGAAGAATGGTATCCCGGCGGAAATTTTAAAGAAAGGAGGGGTCACACTGCAAAGAAAGCTATGTAATTTGATACTGAGAGAGTGGAGAGAAGAGAAAATTCCAGAGAGCTGGAGTAATGCGGTAATTTGCCCAATACATACGAAAGGTGACAAAACCCTTTGTAAAAATTACAGAGACATAGCGCTACTGGATGTTGTGTACAAAATATTTGCAAAGATTGAAAAAATGCGAGAATGGCACAGTAGGTGAATACCAAAGAGAGTTTAGAGCAGAAAGAGCGATAATGGATCAGATATTTACCTTAAAATTGATACAAAATAACACTTACGAAGAAAACCTAGGACTTCACATGCTCTTCATTGATTTTAAACAGGCGTATGACTCTATCGACCGGGAAAAGTTATATAAAGCTCACTACGGGTATCTACTTTCCACTAGGAACAGCAATGTATAGCGTACGCAGGTGATGTAGTCCTTTTAACAAGAACAAAAAAAGAACTGGAACAAATGTTTCAGAACTTTGAAGACGAAAAAAAGTATAGACATGGAAATGCGTGGTGAGATAACAGATCTCATAAAATTCGTGACACTTAAAACGAGAAGAAAGGATTATAAAATTGAAAATTTCAGCCAGTTCGAGTATTTGGGTGTAACAATAACGAATAAAGAGGAAGAAGAAAAAGAAACAGAAAAGAACTATTAAAAGGAAATAGAGCAATGGGCTCTTTAAACAATATTCTAAAAGCAAAAAATGTATGTAGGGCAGCAACAATTCGAATATATGAAACAGTTATTCGGCCAGTGGCAGTGTATGCCTGTGAGACCTGGACTATGAATAAGAAAGATGAAATGAAAATCGAGATCTGGGAAAGGAAGGTGTTGCGGAAGATTTTTGATGGTATTAGGACGGCGGAGGGAAATTGCCGAAGAAGAACAAATAAAGAGGTAATGAAGATGTATGGAAAACCCCTAATTGTACAAAAAGTCAAAGTGCAGAGACTCAGGTGGTTAGGTCACATCATTCAAATGCCAGAGAAACGTTGTGTAAAAATGATGCTTTTTGTTTGTTCGGATCCAGTTCTGGATTCGCATCACCAGACGACCAATCATACGGATCACCAATTATACGGATTTGACGAACCGCCAGGAATCAGCCGACTTAAAACAAGGAAAAGGTTTATGAGAAATGTCAGCGTCGAACCACTCGAAGTGTTCCCCCTACATCCAGAACGACCTAATGGAATGAACCTGGACTGTAGAACCTGGCGGACACTCAACCGCATGCGCAAAGGTGTTGCCCCTGTAAAACAGAACCTCATTAAATGGAGCATCAGGACAGATAGCGAGGCACTCTGTGAATGTGGGGAAATACAGAACGTGGAGCACCTGAGAGTATGCAGACTTTGCCCATCACAATGCACCCTCGATGATTTATGGCTCGCAAATACAAAGGCTGTAGACGTAGCCCGATATTGGGCAGAAAAACTGTAGTCGGATCCAGACTCGAAAAAGATGCTTTTTGGAGGAGGCGGGGGTAAAATGAAGAGAGAAAGACCACGGAAAAAGTGGTTAGAAGCAGTTAAAGGAGATTTAAATGGTATAGGAGTGCAGAATTGAAGAGAGAGAGAGAGAGAGAGAGAGAGAGAGAGAGAGAGAGAGAGAGCAAACGGCCGGAAAAAGTGGAAAAATTAACGAAGAAAATAGAAGCCAAGGGCCTCCATGGCCTGTAGCGTCGGTAATTAATTCTCAAATGAATTAACGAAACTCTAACTAATTAATGTTAGGGCCTGTTTCCAGTTTTCTGGCAACGAATGCATTAGAGAAATCATGGGAATCCAACGAACAATCACAGATGACTGATTAGAAACCTAAAAACTTACGTGGTTTAGATATATACAAAGAATTAATGAGTAACGAATACTAAACACATCGGATAGCCAAGAGGGCTGGGCGGCTGGCTTCTCCTTCGCTTCAATGCGAGAAATGTCAGTTCAAATTCCCAGCTCGGTGTACAGAAAAACAAAAAGGCTAACGCATCAGTTTAAAATTCTAAATGAATCTGCGGCTTAGTCTAGAATATGCTGGTATCTGATCGGCCTATGGTGGAGCAGTACGGCAAGAGATAAGGGCTTGCGGCTCGGTGATACTCCTCCATAGATCCCTGCCGTAAGGGTGTGTGCCGCCTAAATACCGGGTATATATATGTAGAAGAATATAGAATTGTGGACTGCAGAGTGTACAGACAATCAGTGTCAACTTAAGAAAAATATCAGTGAAGTATAATTGTTCAAATACTGTCTATTAAGAATAAACTCAATGGGTTAGACATAAAAACAATACACTTATTTGTTTGTATTTTGATATTTTCCAGTTTTATGCCATACAGAAAACACAAAAAGTGTTACATACCACAGATCTCGATATATTGTGGTGTAGAAAATATGCCATATACGCAAAATTTAAGATACTAAGTAAAATAATTTTAATTATGTAGAAACTTTTTTTGTCTACCAGGTTACACAATATATAGAAAAGTTGTGCAGAATTCATGCAGAATTTTAATCAGTTCAAATGTATCAAAAATTCAATTTTAAATCATATGAAACTAAGCTAACTATATAACTATAAAAATTACGAGCGTTAATTATATATAATTAAAAGTGTATTTCAGGTATCATCTTAAATATTTTATACAAAATTATTAACCCAGAACAAGGAAAATATAATTTATGCATAGACATGCAGGTAGCTAGAGTTCAATTTTGCAAGATTTATAAATCTAATTCTGCAAAACAATTAAAGGTCGGAAATGAGGGGTTGTTCAAGGACAGAGGACTAAAAACAAAAGACTAAAATATTTTCTAGACCAAAACAAATAACTAGGTTTGTATAACATTGTCAGAAAGATTTATATTCTAAGAAATATAACAGGTCAGCACTGAAGTATATTTAACTATGTCTTAGGAATCCAAAGCATGAATTAATGATAATTTTAATTCACAGTACATACACAACATTTTTTTAATGAATTGTTTTTCACAAATTTTCAAAAATAGCCTTCTTTTGTACGAATAGAAAAGGCAAAAACGAAATAAAATAGTTTGGAAAAAGTCTGTAAACAGAGTAGCCTTGTTATATATTCCAAAAGAGATTCTCACACTGTGTGACTTCAACTTTTAATCACAACGCAAATATGATAAAGTAATATGTTTAAATATTGTTTAAAATGCGTGCAAAAATATAAATATTATGATAGTGGCGACAGTTACGAGTTAGGATATTGTAGTAGTGCTTATTAAGAAAATTCCATATATACACCATCATTCTCTTTACTGAAATTACTCTAATCATCGAAAGAGTCCAGGGAAATCAACATTTGTACCATAAACATTGAGGTACTATAAGATTATCTGTAACCCAAATTTTCTCTTCGTTGATACTAGCATTTGGAGTCTTTACTATACTTCTAAATAATTGTAGTTTTAGTCTTTCCAGACCCCTATAAATGTTCACTACAAACTGGAATCTTCCCAGATTTTTAGAAAAAAGCCTTTTGAAGCCAATTTTTAAGTCTTCTTCTTCTTCTTCAGATGCAAATCCACTAATGGATGTTAGCGATCACATTTTCCATTAACTCTCTATTTCTTGCAATATGTATCAGAGATTGTATGTCGTTAATCCCTGTCCATTGCCTTATGTTTCGGAGCCAGGACATTTTCTTGCGTCCCATTCCTCTCTTGCCTTCAATTTTACCCTCGATTATAAGTTGGAGGAACTGGTATTTTTCATTTCGCATGATGTGACCTAGATACGCCGTTTTCCTTTTCTTGATGGTTTCGAAAAGTTGGCGTTCTTGGTTTATTCTTTTAAGGACATCTATATTTGTGATTTTCGCTGTCCATGGTATTTTTAGGATACGGCGATAAAGCCACATTTCGAAAGCTTCCAATCTGTTTATATCCCTCGTTTTGAGTGTCCAGCCTTCTACGCCATATAGCAGCACTGACCATACGTAGCACTTAGTAAACATTAGTCTCAGTTGAAGATCGAACTCAGAACAAGTCAGTACCTTCTTGAATTTTACGAAAGATTGTGCCAAACTTCAGTATCAGTTACAGAGTTTACAAGGCTTCTTTTTCAGCATATGATTGATCATTCACCTCTTGAATACATTTTCCTTATCAAAGATCTGGGTGTTACTTTGAATACAACTCTCAAATTTTCTGAAGTGCTTGAATAATCCTATTAACAACTGACTCTCGAGTTTTAACTTTACTCAATATATCACCAATTACTCATGTTATAAAACAAGATATCTTTTTACTTTTATAATAGGTATTTTACATGGTAGAGTTGCTTCACCAGAAATACTACATAAAATTATTTATGTACACCTAAAATCATCTATAGGAATACATTGATGTGATTTTATATGTTGTCACCATGGGGCTTAGTTGTGGACTAATACGCACCCCAATGTGCATCGCCCCGCCTCAAAACATCTTCAATTTTCTTATTGGCAGAGTGATCTGAAAATGCCGTATAGAAACATAAATATGCGAAATTTTCAACTCTCTGTCAGACTGGTCTCGGCTCCCAAATAGGGTCTCCTGTACCCTGAGTGTCCCATGCCGGGACTCTATTCCAGTTCTCAGAACACTGAGACTCTGTGGCTGGACCTTGTCCATCTCCTAACCATTGTTTTATTTTATTTCCATGTCAGAAATGTTAAGTATCCACTGAAGATGGAATATACAGAGAAGATATTTCAAATAGACTGGTCTGAGTCCCTCTGTACATTGTCCCTCTGTTTACATTATCTGTTATTTGTTTTGGGTTCATTATTAAATCCTTAGGGTATGTCCACGATAAACGCTGGTAGTCAGATTCAGATTCCCTGACTCAGACTGTCTGATTCTGAGTGGCGGGTAGGATATGGCCATTATGAAGGCTAGTTGTCTCCTGATAGTGTAGAACATTGACTGATCAATGTAGCATGGAACTTACAAGTGAACAGGAAAGTTAAAATCAATCAGAAGAGAAACACATCCGATTAATAAAATAACACATATTTATGGGTAGTACAAAAACCTTTTTCTGCAATTACTTGCTGACAAAAACCAATTTTTCATATATTTCAGAATCAATCTGCACACCTTTTATTTTATTTTGTCAAAAATTCAACACAGACTTACAAAGAACTATTCTTTGTTTCAAGTTAAGAAAATAACATTACGCTTATGGAGATCAGTGTTGCCAAAACTCTCAGACACTCTCTTTTGCACGGATGTCCAAGATATTCCCTTTGCTTAATTTTTGAATTTTCATTTTTAATTAACACTTAGCTGTAAAGTCAGAATAACTACTAAATAAAAGCCTTATTATCATTATGTAGTCAGAGAACGACATAAAATAGCTGACATACGCACATCGTATTATTTTAAGTTGCAATTAGTAATTAGATATATGCATTCCAAGCGGTCAATATTTTCTACTGATTTCTATGATTCATGGCATATCGTATTCTCACCGAAAAACAAATAAACCGTCGTTACTATAATTAAAATAAGATAAAATAAAATTATCTTTTGTAAATACTATTTATCTAATTAAAATCATTTTCCCTACTTTTCATCTCTTGTTTCGAATGGACACTTTTGGTCAATTACGTTAAAAAACATTAATTTAATTCATGTTTGTGGAAACGAAAATACAAATTATACAACCCTAAATTGTGCTTGTGTGTGTCGTGGCAACGCCGCGTTGCTATCGTCCATAAGAAATACATGGGCCTATCTCCGCAATGTTATTTTCTAAACGTGGAACGTAGTATAGGCGAATTACCTACCACAAACAAAAGTTGTTAGTTAAGTTTTCTTATTCTATGTTTTCAAATTTTATATTTACATTTTTTATTTTTAACAAAAATAAAAAAAGTGGGAAAAAAATATAGACTTGAATAATTAAAAATTGCTCAAAATGAATAAAAATCAACACTCATCTGCGTCAGGTGCCTGAAACCAGAATGAAATGTTAATTCTGCTAAATGTCTGAGTCAAATTACCAGCGCATAGGTTCTCAACACTCTGGTGCATTTTGGCATGATTATTTGCACACTGGCTCGGCTGTCTAACTTGAAAACCAGGGTTAATATCTGACATTCCTTTAGCACTCTTTCTAGACATACAGACAGCTAGTACTGGAGTATGTGCAGGCCACTTGCCTTAATGGCTGCATTATTTTAAGTCTACTTTTCATTCAAATATGGATCAAAACATATTGTAACTTGTTTAAACCTCTAAATTGCCCTGACGGAAATTAATGAACTGGAAAATTCCAATGATAATTCAATTTTCTGCAATTAAGAATCAGTTGTGCAAATAAAATGCTACCACAATCAAAAATAATCTCAACTTAAAACAAGATTAACATCTAGATAAATTTTTCGAAAAAAAAAAATTTCTTGTAACCTGCATTTAAAAACAAATATCTTTGACATGATAAAAATTTGTCATGCTATACCTAATATAAGAATAATTATAGTTTCATTCGGACCATAAGTAATAAATGACTTACCTCGAATTGTTATTATGAGCAGTCTTAGCATTCCCAAAAGCTTCTAACACAGGCCCGGCACTAAGTATAGTCTGTTCCACTCCACTACCATGTGATCCCTTCTGGCTTAACGCTGTCAAGTGATGCAATAAAAAATTAGTACTTTCAGTCTTTCCCGAACCACTTTCTCCACTAATAACTATGCACTGATTTTTTCTGTCTTTTAACATGCAGTGATAAGCAGTATCAGCCACTGCAAATATGTGAGGAGGTAAATTAGGTCCTAATCTTCTGTTCTGATACAGTTTCACATATTTTGGATTGTAAATGGGATAAAATTTAAATGGATTTAAAGCTATTAATATAGATCCTACATAAGTATAAATATGTCCAGCAACAAATCTAGCTCTGAGGTTATCCAGTAAAGTTTGTTCATTAAGATCGGGCAGTTGGCATAGATCTGGATATTCTCTATCTTTCGGCTGATAAAGGAACCTATGGAAGTAGTCTTTAATAAGTTGGGGGTCCATCACAAATTGGTCTCTCCACACATAATCATTAACCTTCTCCCTTAAATAAAACCTATAGGAGGAATGATCTGGTCTGTGTTTTGGCCACAGCATCATAAGTTGTACTGGACTTTCATGAGCAGACAAGCTCCTCTCCTTGCACTCCTGGCCAAAATCATCTCCTATTACCTCAGCTAACTCGTAGGAAGCATTGTCATTTAAAGATAGCCTCTCAACTATACAAGAAACTATCTCTTCTGATGTTGTTTGCTTGCTAGCTTCAACTGACAGTGCCTCATAGAGAGCTGATAGAGCTCCTACATACACCTGAACGATGTATCTATTATTTTCTGTGCTATGCATCATGATCTTTTATTGGGAACTTTTGGTGAAGAAGTTTGGCAAATATTACACATGTCGTCAGGGAAATTTTCAGTCTATGGTGAAATATTTCAGCTTGGTTATGGGTTTACCACTCATTATGCTTCTATGAGGACACATTCTGAAATAAAGAAAATTACATTAGATCATTGACAAAAAAAAAAAAAATAAAGCTAAACATAAAGGATGTCAATAAATTTGTACTTGATAATAGTTACTGATCAATTATTTCCTTAATCTTTAGTATATTGACGTATAGTTTGCAAATAGGGATTTATTATGATTGCTATAATGAAATTATCGCAGAATTCTACAACATAAAACCTTTACACATACTAGGATGGTATAGCAGTAAGGAACTAATTGACTACAGTTTCGAATCAAAAATGGGCTTAGTACAAAAACTTTTGCTACCTTATGTTTTGAATAAATGAAAATTGAGTTTTGAGTATCTTAAAATTGTGAAATGTGTGTACTACAAAGGAAGAGCTAGAGTACAGTTACTTAAGTTTATGAGAAACTAGGACTGCATCAGGGCTTGATGGGAATTAATGGCATGAATGAATGCCAAGAAAGTTTTCCAAGAGATAGACAAGTCTATGAAAGGCATTATAATTATTAGTATGACTGATAGGCTTTGTTGTTGGACATACTATCCAGGATCAACAGCTTTATGTGCCCTTAGAAGCACAATGTCAGCTCAGTTGAATTAGAAATTGAAAAATATCTGAAAGCTACTGAGCTATGGCTGTCACTACTTATAAATAAGTTAGTTATAGTTTGCTGTCCTCTGTAATACTATCAAAACTGTACAAATTGGTGACTTTTTTTTAGTAACTCCATCTTTAAATGAACATTCTAAATGTTCTGTTGTTTTGCTATTAAGTCTACATCTTTTTCTTCCAAAGCCTATCCTCACAGTTTCAATCTTAGTTCTTTTTTCCCCTCAGTATTTTGTACCAAAAATTCTTAAGAAATTGAAATGTAAATTATGTAGAACAGCTATAAGACCAGCACTGAATGATAAAATTAAAAATGAATTTGTTAGGAAAGGTTCTCAGGGAGAAGATTTAAAATGTGTTTTTATACTCATATACAAACAAAAAAAAGCTAATATGAGTGAAATACATTTAGGTCTTGGAAAAATTTGCAAAACATGTTCCAACACACAAGCCTGGTTTTTCCTGATACATAAGGCAGTGGTACATATAATAATAGAACTCTTTATTCCAGGAACAATATTTTCTAGGTTTGTAAGAACCATTGCTCAGTTCAACTCATCTATCTCACCGTCACTTTCTATCAGGATGTGTAAGAATTTTTTGGTAAAATAATTCGATTTTTTGGAAGATATTTGACATGATTTTACACAACCCTTGCTCCACTGTTACTGGATATTCTTAATATATACCCAATGGAGAGGTTCTGAAACTATTCATAAATTTTTGCAAATGATTTCAAAATTGGAAATTGAAACATCCAGACAAATGTAAAATGTAGTTCTCATTACAATCAATTGTGGTTTAATCTCATGTAAATACATATTTATCCCTAATGGAATAGAATATCAGTTCTAAAGTGAAAAATCAATTATAAAGTAGATATGTAGCATGAAAAGCCAATGATAAACTGACAGCAATTTTAAGACAAAAAGGTAAGGATTTGTACCTATTTACCAGGTCATGTACTATAAAATGTTTTAGATTTTATTATTAATTATTTTATTTAAGAATATCGTCACTTGCAAGCAAGAGTGACACAATTCAAAATCTGGTAAGTTTAGACAAGTGATTAAAGTTCAAATATCACGAATTTTCTGATAAAAATCCTAATACTAGAAATAAAATAAATTTAATAAAATTTAAAACTTAACTTAAATCACTTGTATAAACTTTTTCAACAGAATACATCAATGAACTATTCAAAGACAATAGAACAGAACAGATGGAGATAGAAGTAGAACAGGATATGGTTTTAAAGATATTAAAAGAGGAAATTAAAATGGCATTAAAAAACAGCAAAAATGGTAAAGCATTAGGTCCAGACCAAATCCGTATAGAAATCTTAAAATGCATGAATGATGAAACCTTAGACATTATAGTAGACTTATTTAACTCAGTATACAAAACAGGACACATACCGAAACAATGGTTACTCTCAACCTTTTGTGCTATCTCTAAACATACAAATGCCAAATATTGCAGTGAATACAGAACAATATCACTATTAAGTCACATTCTCAAATTATTCCTGCAAACAATACATGGTCGTATCGATAAAAAACTGGAAGAAGGAATAGATGATAGTCAGTTTGGGTTCAGAAATGGACTAGGAACCAGAGAAGCCATATTTACTTTTAATGTGTTAGCTCAAATATGCATGGATATTAATGTTGGTGTGCATGTTTGTTCACATTGATTTTGAAAAAGCATTCGGCAAAGTAAGACATGAAAAATTAGTCCAAATTCTAAAAAAAACAAACCTCTATTGGAATCAAAGAGCACAAATCGTAATAGATAACGAACCCAGTCCAGAAATTGAAATCAGGAGAGGAGTTAGGCAGAGATGTATTATGTCCCCATTACTATTTAATGTATTTAGTGAAGCCATTTTGAAGAAGCATTACTATCTCAAAGTGAAGGAATAATAATTAACGGAAGATCTATTAACAACATAAGATATGCAAATGACACTGTGATTATGGCAAGCTCAGCTGAACAACTCCAATTACTACTAAACAAAACAAACAGTTTCTGTGAAAAATATAGACTAAAAATGAATATAAAAAGACCAAATACAGTGGGTGATCAAATTATTATGATCAGTCAAAAGGTTTTTGTTTTTCAAATTTGTTCAAAAATTTTATAATTAAATCATATGCTGCTATTTGATTAAGGTATGTCTATATATTTTGTCACTAATAACCTTACTTTTTTGATGTTTACAGCTCTAGAACTGGCATGTGTGTCAAATTATGTGACAACATACATATTATGGTGAATTTACGCTTATAGTTTAAAACTTAATTTGTATGTTTTTGTATTGTTTTTGAAAGATTAGTATCGTTTTATCTTTGTAATATGTTTTATATAATAGTGGTGATTGTGAGTGAAAAAAAAAAACTATCAGTTTTAATTTTAAAGACATTTTCAAAACATTTCGATTTTTGAGAAGAAAATCATAATGGGTGAAGCTAAAGACGTCCCTGTGTCTAAAATTGTGGAGATAAAGACACTTTTATTGAATGCACAGCTTTCCCAACGTCAGATAGCTCAACAATGTCAAGTAGTACATGCAACAGAGCAATATCAAGAAAAAAATTGATTCCAACAAACCTCTGACTAACCAGCGTGCCCAAAAATGTGGTCGAAAGCGTGCCACTACACGCAGAGACGAACGAAAAATGAGCGATATCTTATGAGCGAAGAAATAATTCAAGAATAATTACCACGGGACTTATTCGTGAAGCTGGGATGCCAGTTTTTGACATGACAGTCCGCAGAAGGCTTGCTGAGCAAGGTTTCAAATCATGTCGCTCTGCCAAAAAACTAAAGTTGACCATCGCAATGATGAAAAAGAGACTGGAATAAGCCAAAGAATACCAAAAATTGGACAATTGAGGATTAGAATAAGGTAAATTACGTCATTACTAAAGTTTAAATCCCTATAACTACTGTTTTTTTTTCCTAAAAAAAAATATGTTATAGATTTTTTTATTCACAGGTTTGTTTCTCCGATTAGTCTACAGTGAAGATACTTATGGATAAGTCGGCTTTTGTCCGAAGGTAAGTGGGTAAAAAAATATTACAAGGATTTGGAGCAAGTAAAGCATCCTCTCAATATCATTTTATGATCGGTAATCAGCAATAAGGGCACAGGGAGGCTGTACATTGTGAAAATAATGATTAATCAACATCAGTTTAGTGAAGTTCTGGAGAGAAAGCTCATGAAATAAGTCAAAGACTGGTTTGGCGAATCAAAGGATTTTACCCTTATACACGATTTAGCCATAAGGCAAAAACAGTAACACCATACCTGAAAAAAAAAAAAGAAAATTAAAGTACTGAAGTGGTCAGGTAATTTTCCAGACCTCTATCCGATCAATAATCTATGGGTGCTTATCAAGAGGGGGATTGCCCAGGAAACTGTCACAAATAAGCAGCAGCTAATTGAACGACTCATTGCCACCTGGCACAGAAACGATAAAATAAAAGAAGACTGCCTGAGAAACATTCAAAACATGCCAAGAATGATCAAAGCTGTTATCGAAGCTAAAGGAGGTCACACAAAAAAACACAAAAAAAATGTTATTTTTTTTGTGTTTTTAAGGTCAAAGAAAAAAATATTTTAAAATTCTGTAAAAGAACGTGTTTATCATCTACTTTTAATATTATATTCACATCATTAGACGCTTATATGCAGTTTTATTCTTTATTAAACAGCAAATTATCAAGTTTTTTGAGGTGATCATAATAATTTGATCACCTACTGTACATGATAAGAACAAAGAAAACAAATATACCAACAAACAGACATTTGGGAAATGTACCCATAGAAAGGGTTGATAAATACAAATACCTAGGAACCTGGATTTCAGACAATAATGATCAATCAACTCAAATAAGAGCTAAGATAGAAATAGCAAGAAATGCGTTTGTAAAAATGAAAACAATTATCTGCAACAAAGATCTTAGATTAGAACTGAGTAAGACCACTGAGATGCTACATGTTTTCAATACTGCAATATGGACTTGAAAGCTGGACATTGAAGCAAGAACACATAAATAAGTTACAGTCCTTTGAAATGTGGTGTTACAGGAGGATGCTTAGAATAGCATGGACACAGAAGAAAACTAACACGGTAGTATTGTGAGAAATGGGCAAAGAATGCGAAATAATAAACACAATAAAAATACGAAAGTTACAACATCTGGGACATGTAATGAGGGGACAGCGATATGAACTACTAAGGCTGATAATAC